GCTATGTCTGTCAAATAAATAAATAAAATCTTTAAAAAAGAAAAAATAAGATGGACAGCAAACTGAACAATTAAAAATAAACTCCATAGTTAGTAAGTATAAAAGGCAGACTACAAAACTGTATGATGGCCACTTTGTTATTATTAGTTTTTGTGCATTTTGGAGGATTGAAATTATATATAAAGTAGGTTGTCTGACTACAATCTAGAAATCCATATAAAATGTAAACAAGAAAATCCCTACATGTTAAGGAACATACTTGAATCACCTGCTTATGTCAGAAGAGCCTATCAGATATTAAGAAAATACTCTGAATTTTTTTTAAAGATTTATTTATTTGTTAGAGAGAGAGAGAGACTGAATGAGTGGGAGGGGCAGAAAGGGAGGGAGAGAGAATCTCAAGCAGACTCCCCGCTGAGCATGGAGCCTGACTTGGGGCTCCATCCCACGACCATGAGATCATGACCTGACCCCAAAACAAGAGTCGAACACTTAACCAACTGTACCACCCAGATGCCCCATGAATTTGAATGACTCATGATAGTACTATTTATAAACCCTTGGGTACAGACAAAGCCATACTTGGAGGGTAATGTTACAATGAATAAAACAGAAAAATTAATGACCTAGATGCCCATATCAAGTTAAAAAGAAACGGCAAAAAATTTGAAGGGGTAAAGAAATAATAAAGATAAAAATAGAGATCCATGAAGCAAAACAAACACAGAAAAAGGAGAAGAAAGAATTAACAGAGCCAAAGCTGGCTCTCTGGGAGAGCTAATAAAATTGACAAACCACTGGAAAAATCTATCATGCAAACGAGAAAGCACAAGTAACCATTATCAAGGATGACAAGGAGGAATCACCACCTACGTGTAAAAGTTAAAAGAAAAATTTATTTAAATTTGAAAATTAAGATGAGATAGACAAATTTCTAGAAAACTATAGGAGTATCTGAAAAAATAGAAAGCTTAAATAGTTGTGTAACCGTTAAAGAAGGTGAACTGGTGGCAGTCAGAGATCTTTCCTTAAACACAAACTCAAGGCCCAGATGGCGTTACAGATGGTTTTGATGAAACTTTCAAGAGGACAATCCAATCTTACATAAAGTCTTCTTGAGAACAGAAAAAGGGACAGTGCACCCACCTCACTTCATGATGCAAAGCCTCACATGGGCATCAGGAGAAAGGAAAGCCAGAAGTCAACCTCATTTCTGAACACAAATGCAAAAATCCTCAACAAAGTACTAGCAAATTGAATCCAGCAATATGTTGAAAGCATAATACAAATCATGATCTTGTTGGACTTACCTGATGAACTCAAATTAGGTTGAACATTAGAAAATGAATTAATGTATTTAGCACATTTTAGAAGACAAAATATTAAAGAAGAAAAATCAGGATAATCTCAATGGCTGTGGAAAAATCCGTCTGATAAAAACCAATACCATTCAGGTCATGAATGAATAGAAGGGAACTTCCTTATCCTGATGAAGGTGGCTATAAAAAGCCTTCTGCAAACATCATACTTATGGGGGACACGGAGATCAAGAACAAGGATGCCCTGATCACTACATTTCTTTCTTTTTAAGATTTTATTTATTTATTTATTTTAGGGGAAGAGAGAGAGAGAGAGAGGGAGCATGTGTATGCTCACACATGTGAGCAGGAAGGGGAGCAGAGGGAGAGGGAGAATCTCCAGCAGACTCCCAGCTGAGCGCGAAGCCTGACATGGGGCTTGTTCCCACGACCTGAGATCAAGACCTGAGCCAAAATCAAGAGTCAGATGCTCAACTGACTGAGCCACCCGGGAACCCCCTCCATCACTACATTTCTATCCGTCACACCAGAGGTCACAGTAAAGTAAGAAAAAGAAATAAAACAGAAGCAAAACTGCCATTAATCTCAGATGATATGTTTGTGTATTTAGCAAACCCCAAAGATGGTACAGATAAGTTATTTCAATCAGTAAGAGAGTTTAGCAAGATTTCTGGACACAAAGTCAATGTTTAAACATCAATTGTAGGGGCGCCTGGGTGGCTCAGTTGGTTGTCTGAGGGGCTCGTCTGACTCTCGGTTTTGGCTCAGGTCATGATCTCAGGGTTGTGGGATCCAGCCCATAGGGCTCTGTGCTCAGCTGGGAGTCTGCTGGTGATTCTCTCTCTCCTTCGCCCTCTGCCCCTCCCCCCAACTCACAAGCACACACTCTTTCTAAAAATAAATAAATCTTTAAAAAAATCAATTGTATTACTTAATACCACCAAACAGAAAATGCAGTAAAAAAGATACCCTTTTCGGGTGCCTGGGTGGCTCAGTCGTTAAGCGTCTGCCTTCAGCTCAGGTCATGATACCTGGGTCCTGGGATCGAGCCCCACATCGGGCTCCCTGCTTGGCAGGAAGCCTGCTTCTCCCTCTCCTACCCCCTCTGCTTGTGTTCCCTCTCTCACTGTGACTCTCTCTGTCAAATAAATAAAATCTTTAAAAAAAAAAAAAAAGATACCCTTTTCAATAGCATTAAAAAATATGAGGTACCTAGAAATAAGCTGGAAAAAAAGTACGATCTTCACAGAGAAAATTATAAAAGCTTATAGAGACATATTACAGAACACCTAAACAAATGAAAACAGATATATGATGCTCATAGGTTGGAAGGCTAATTTTTGCCAAGATGCATGTTCTTCCCAAACTGATTTAAGGAGTCAATACAAACCCAATAAAATCCCAACACGTTTGTTGGTTTTGATGGGAACTTGACAGACAGAATGTAATATGTATATAAAACATACAAAAGACCAAGAATAGCCAAGATGCTATTGAAGAAGCTCCCCCATCCTCCTAAAATCCAAAAAACAAAGTGGGAGGATTTGCTCTGTGAGTTATCAAGGCTATTTCTTTCTTTTTTTTTTTTTTTTAAAGATTTTATTTATTTATTTGACAGAGAGAGACACAGCGAGAGAGGGAAAACAAGCAGGGGGAGTCAGAGAGGGAGAAGCAGGCTTCCTGCGGAGCAGGGAGCCCGATGTGGGGCTCGATCCCAGGACCCTGGGATCATGACCTGAGTTGAAGGCAGATGCTTGACCATCTGAGCCACCCAGGCGCCCCTCAAGACTATTTGCAAATGGCCAATACCTAAGTATAAAAGGCAAACTATAAAGCTTTTAGAAGCTCCGTGAAGGGATTATCTTTATTATCTTGATGTAGGGGAAGATGTCTTAAACAGTAAACAAACAGAACCAATCAATCATAAAGGAAAATGTTGGCACGAGTGAATACGTTAAAAGTAAGAACATATGTTCATCAAAAAGACGCCAAATGCAAGAATATAGTCACAGCAGCACTGGTCAAATCACTAAAAACTGGGAAAAGCAAAAAGTCTGTCAGCAGCAGCCTGCACAGATACACTGTAGTATATTCATGCCAACACGTATGAACCTCACAAATATAAGCTGACAAAAGCCAGACACTGCATGATTTCAGTTGTATAAATAACTGGTACAAATCATTAGCAAAAAGGCAGACAATTCAATAG